GCTATTACGCGCCGCGCGAGGCCTCCAGGATGATCCTCATAGCCAGCGCAACGCATAAGGAGGATTTGCACGGAGGAAACGGGTCCTGAGGGAACCGGCTCCTGGACCCTGGGGCCTTCCCCAGGAGGAGCTTTTCATCCTGAGTCGTTTTCTGGAAGTCCTGGGGCCCGTAGAAGGAGGCCCCGAGGGGCAGAAAACAAAGAAGACCTCAGGACCCGTTTCCCTCAGGACCTGAGCTGTCCCGATGTGCAACATGCAACACGTAGCGTCTTGATACGGAGCTCAACACGTAGACTGAAAACGTGGGTCTGACGCGATGCGTTCACCAAAACGTGGACCAGCACGTGCCAGGCCAACACGCAGCGTGTGAAAATGGCTGTTGTTGAACACTGTACTTGTTGCGGTTCAGCACGGGCGTAGGAGGGCAAATCAGCTCAGGACCCATCTCCTTCATGGCGAGGAGGAGGAGGAGGAGGAGGAGGAGGAGGAGGAGGAGGAGGACGAGGGGAGGAGGAGGAGGAGGAGGAGGAGGAGGATGCGGCCGCGAGGAGGGCGGGAGGGACGGACGGAGACGGGACGGTGAGGGGCAGCAGCATGCAGGGCCGAGCGTCTCTCTGGACACCCTCGGCCTGCCCCGGCTCCAAAGCGAGGAGGGGAGGCGCCGCGCTCCAGAGGACCTCGCCGCACGGTCAGCCAACGCCCGGTTTTGGGACCTCGGAGGCCTCACTCGCCCGAGACATCCTCAGAAGAAGAAAAACGGCATAAGCATAAACTTTTGGCGCTCCGCGCGGATTTCTTGGATCTGCGCTGAACACCCCTCCCCGGAGCGCGCCAGGGGCGGCGCCGCTGGGGGGGCGCAGCGCGGATCCAAGAAATCCGCGCGGAGCGCCAAAAGTGTATGTGTATGGCTTGTTTTCTTCTCCTCATAATCCTCGGAGAACGATCCAGGTCCCAAAACCGTACGGTCCCCGGTCCACCCAGATCCCCAGTGACTCACAACCCGAAGTGGTCTCCGCACCCCAGATATTGTGCTTCTGCACGCTTCTACCGGCTGAGCAATCCTCGTTCTGCTTCGGTTCCACCGGCCTTCCACCACCTTCCGCCGACGAATAGGCGCCAGCTTCTCGATTCCTCGAGAGGCAGCCCTTTCTGAAGCGCCCCGTTCAGCAGTCAAAGCGATGGTGATAGATGATGGACGAGAGAGGGTGCGAGATGAGTCCTTAAGCTTCAAGTTGACTTCTGCCACATCACCAAACTGGGAGAAGTGCGCCACAATCTCGTCCTGAGGAAGAAGACCACACAGCGCGCTTCGCCATTCACATCTTCCTTATACAAGTCTGCACTGGACCCTAGATGTGTGAAGACAGTGAGCCGAGCGGTTATGGTTGGACCGAGGGGGGTCACATGTAAGACGACATCCATTGTCGATACAACAGTTCGGTCACGCACGATGCGACACACTTGGCTTCCCCAGACAAGCTGAACCGCTGTAAGTGCACAAGGAGCAAATCATCGCCCAGCGTCAAATCGCAAATCTAGCCTGCATATGGCCTGTATGAACCACAAACCTTCGAATTCATGCTGGCTGCCTTTTCCCGTGCGGCTGCAACTCCAAAGTATCAACGCTGACGAGCAGTAATGCCCTACCCTGCCAAGGTGTTGCCGTTCACACATTGTGCACATACGCCAGCCTTCGGAAAGACATTTACGTAATGGGACGAAGCTGGTCCTGCCAGTGCCTCACTCCTCCTCCTCATTCTCCTCACTTCTCCTAACCGATGTTTCAGACACGAACGCGTGCGTGCGGCTTGCTCTTAGGTAGTAAACCATACCTTCGAACACACTACTGTACACATGTACAATCACCTCCGCAAGGGGGCACGCTCTGCATGCATGTATTGTTTCTCGTTGCTGATTGTTTGAGTTTCCTGGCACGTCCAGAGCCCTACATGCGCATCGTAACCTACAACCCCCTGGAGGCGAGTAAGACATGAGGACATCTCTCACGAGCTCAAACATTGGGACATCATACTACTCTCGGGCACGCAGCGTGCAGCACAGCTCGATCATCCCGTACAAGAACATGTACACGCGTATCACTGGGGAGTTCACTCCGGAAGACGGGTGGGACGGCTAGTGACAGCTTCGTGCGGAATATCTATACTCGTCAGCGGAAAAAAAACCGCTCGAGATCCAGGGTAGAGTAGGAGGTATCAGAATACAAATCAAAGCTCTGGATTTCGTGGTCTACTGCATGTACCTGGCCCCGATGCAAGACGGGATGAAAGAAATCATCGCCCAGAAGGTTTTCCAGTGGATGGAGCGGGAACTGGACGGGCTGGGGGTCAGGAGTGCCATTATTGTGGGAGGAAACATAATGACGGAAAGGAGGAAACGGAGGAGGAGTAGGAGGAGAAGGAGGAGGAGGAAATAGAGGAGAGGAAGGAGGGGAAAAAGAAGAGGAGGAGGAGGAGGAGAGGAGGATGCCGAGCGCGCCCAAAGGAGGAGGAGAAGGAGGAGGAGGAGGAAGAGGAGAAGGACGAGGAGTCGAGGAGGGGAGGGTCGCGGTGAGGTGCGAGGACCGGAAGAAGGCAGAGGAGGCTCGAGCCGGCCGACGACGACGAGCAAGGAGGGCGGAGGCGCGGGGCGACTCCTCCGTGGAGGGCGTCGGCAGGCCGCCTATATACACCTTCTTGGTGACTGGCGCCCCCTGGGGACCAGTGCCACCTGGGGCACAGGACGGCGTGCCGCGGAGGGTGAGGATGTCCAGATCCTCCTCCTCCTCCTCCTCATCCTCCTCCTCCCTCCTCCTCCTCCTCTCCTCCTCCTCCTCCTCCTCCTCCTCCTCCTCCTCCTCCTCCTCCTCCTCCGCCACCTCCTCCCCCCTCCCTCCTCCTCCTCCTCTCCTCCTCCTCCTCCTCTCCTCCTCCTCCTCCTCCTCCTCCTCCTCGTCCTCCTCCTCCTCTTCCTCCTCCTCCTCCTCCTCCTCCTCCTCCTCCTCCTCTTCATCCCTCCCTCCTCCTGGCCGGCACGGGGGCACCCAAGTGGGTCCCCACCCTCGTCACGCAAGGGGGGGCCCCGGGCGTGGGGTTCAGGCCATGTCCGACCACGCCTCGGCAGCAAAACTGCTGCCAGGCCACTCGCGCCTCCAGAGCACAGCGCCTCCCTTGGGAGCTGGCCGCGGTCGCGGGAGGAGGAGGAGGAGGAGGAGGAGGAGGAGGAGGAGGAGGAGGAGGGGAGGAGGAGTAGTAAGACCTGTGTAAACCCAAGATCCGTCAACGATCTTGCAATAAACCCTCCCTCCAAATTCCATCTTCAGAGGCTCAACTAAAGGTTTACGGGTAGGGCCCCATTGGAAGACAACCGTATGAAACTTACCCCGTGACGTACCCAACCCTTTGCAATTGCACTCAGGACCACTCAATGCTGACGGGCATGCTGTAAAACCCGCAGTGCGGCAGAAGGACACCCAGCAGTGAAATCAGAAGAGCGCAGCAAGAAGAGCAGCGGCAACGCGTAAGACGTACCTCTGCTGGGCCTCCCAGGAGCCCACGTAAGTGGCGACAGTTGCGCAGATCGCAGCCCCCAGGGCGCCGCGAGGTCTCGAGGTGGTCCGCGTGGGACGTACCTGCGCTGGGCCTCCCAGGAGCCCACGAAAGTGGCGACAGCTGCGCAGATCGCAGCCCCCAGGGCACCGCGGAGTCTCGAGGTGATCTGCGTGGGACGTACCTCCGACAGTTGCGCAAAATCGCAGCCCCCAGGGCACCGCGAGGTCTCGAGGTGATCTGCGTGGGACGCACCTCCGCTGGGCCTCCCAGGAGCCCACGAAAGTGGCGACAGTTGCGCAGATCGCAGCCCCCCAGGGCACCGCGAGGTCTCGAGGTGATCCGCGTGGGACTTACCTCCGCTGGAGCCCACGAAAGTGGCGACAATTGCGCAGATCGCAGCGCCCAGGGCATCGCGAGGTCTCGAGGTGATCCGCGTGGGACGTACCTCCGCTGGGCCTCCCAGGAGCCCACGAAAGTAGCGACAGTTGCGCAGATCGCAGCCCCCAGGGCACCGCCAGGTCTCGAGGTGATCCGCGTGGGACGTACCTCCGCTGGGCCTCCCAGGAGCCCACGAAAGTGGCGACAGCTGCGCAAATCGCAGCCCCCAGGGCACCGCGAGGTCTCGAGGTGGTCCGCGTGGGACGTACCTCCGCTGGGCCTCCCTGGAGCCCACGAAAGTGGCGACAATTGCGCAGATCGCAGCCCCCAGGGCACCGCGAGGTCGCGAGGTGATCCGCGTGGGACGTACCCCCGCCGGGCCTCCCAGGAGCCCACGAAAATGGCGACAGTTGCGCAGATCGCAGCGCCCAGGGCACCGCGAGATCTCGAGGTGATCCGCGTTGGACGTACCTCCGCTGGGCCTCCCAGGAGCCCACGTAAGTGGCGACAGTTGCGCAGATCGCAGCGCCCAGGGCACCGCACCGTCTCGAGGTGATCCGCGTGGGACGTACCTCCGCTTGGCCTCCCAGGAGCCCACGAAAATGGCGACAGTTGCGCAGATCGCAGCCCCCAGGGCACCGCGAGGTCTCGAGGTGATCCGCGAGTGACGTACCTCCGCTGGGCCTCCCAGGAGCCCACGAAAATGGCGACAGTTGCGCAAAATCGCAGCCCCCAGGGCACCGCGAGGTCTCGAGGTGATCCGCGTGGGACGTACCTCCGCTGGGCCTCCCAGGAGCCCACGAAAGTGGCGACAATTGCGCAGATCGCAGCCCCCAGACACCGCGAGGTCTCGAGGTGATCCGCGTGGACGTACCTCCGCTGGGCCTCCCAGGAGCCCACGAAAGTGGCGACAGTTGCGCAGATCGCAGCCCCCAGGGCGCCGCGAGGTCTCGAGGTGGTCCGCGTGGGACGTACCTCCGCTGGGCCTCCCAGGAGCCCACGAAAGTGGCGACAGTTGCGCAGATCGCAGCCCCCAGGGCACCGCGAGGTCTCGAGGTGATCCGCGTTGGACGTACCTCCGCTGGGCCTCCCAGGAGCCCACGAAAGTGGCGACAGTTGCACAGATCGCAGCCCGACGGCACGAGAGAAGAGGAGAGGGGAACACAGGAAACAGGAGAGGAGTAGGGGAGGAGGGGGGAGGAGAAGAAAGAGGACGGGGCGACCACATTGCTCTAGTCAAAACGAGTACCCAACCATAGGAGGGTTGGGAAAAAACTTCAACCGTGCCAACGCAGCACCACTCATGGGACTTTAACGCCACGAATGAACGATACTGTTGCGACCTTGCGACCCTAAATCGTGCCAGAACATCCTTTCTGGGACGTCAACACCGCGACCCGATGTGACTGTCACATCATGCCAGTCCCAAATCGTGACAACATACACTTTCTGGGGCGTCACCCATCAGTACCCTTGCAACTGCTTTAACATGTGAAAAAAGAATGTGTGCGGCGCTCAAGCGAGAGCCACAGTTTGAAAAGGAACCGTCCTCCATTCGTGAAGGTGTTATGAACTTCTACAACGAGTGCGCGCGGTGCTAAGGCGAGAGCCACATCATGAAAACGGCCCGCCCTCCATCCGTGAAACCTCTGCAAACTGTTTTGACGAATATCCGAGGAACCCACGGCGAAAACCACATTTGAAAACGACCCGCCCTCCATCCGTGAAACCATTGCACTTTCAAGCGTTTACGACGAACGTCCGCCGCGCTAAGGCGAAGACCAGCCACATGCTTACAACGACCCGCCCTCCATGCGTGAAACTGTTACGAATGTCCAGCTTCAGGGTCATAAATGATGAGGAGGTCTCCGGTGAAACGCCCAGCCCGCCCTACCGACCCGTCTCGGGGCGCGGCATGGAGGAGTTATTTATGAGGAAGAGGGATGGGGGAGGAGGAGGAGGAGGAGGAGGAGGAGGAGGAAGAAGAGGAGGAGGAGGAGGAAGCAGAGGATTCTTCAACATCAACCACCAAAATCACACTGTACACACCCCTCCAGCCAGTCTGCGGCCCTGAGACTCGCCCAGTGGCCCGGAGTCAAGCGTCAAGCGGCGCGCCACTCTTGGGATGCTTGTCCTCGAGGAAGCAAGACCGAGAGGAGGAGGAGGAGGAGGAGGAGGAGGAGGTGGAGGAAGAGGAGGAGGAGGACCCCTCACTCCTCGACCCTCCCAGCCTCTATCGATCGACGGCGCTCTTTAAAAGGCCCCCGCACCAGGCGGGCCGCACGCGCCCCTGCCGCAGCCGCCGCCGGGCAAGGCGGGCACGCCGCCAGGGCAGCCCGCGACGCCCTCGGAGGCTGGAGACGGAGCGGGGAGGGGGGGTGGCACGGGATCGGGCAGGCATCCCCAGACGCGCTCGCGTCGTGCATATACATATACATATACATTTATATAGAGAGATATACACACATATGCCTTGGTACGCGTGTATGTACACATACCTGCATATGTGAATATATATATATATATATATATATATATACAAATGCATACGTCCATACGTACGTGCATGTATGGCAGCACACTACATGGCAATAACCGACACTACATTACACTACACTGCATCACATCACACTACATACATACATTCATACACATACATGCATACCAACCAAGAACGACTGAAGGATGTTGGCCATTGTCGGCCTCTGTGGGGCCCTGGCTGAGCCCTGGAGCCGTCAAACAACGGCTCTGGCTGAAAAGCCAGCCCTGGGGAAAGGGTAGGGATTTCCGGAGATCAGCTTTTTTTGAAAGTGCTCTAGATTACCCCTGAGCTGCCTTGATTCTTGGAGGATCCTGAACCGTGCCGGTTCACGATGCTTGGGACTTCAACAGAAGACCCCTGAAAGTGGCGCAAGCTTTCAAAACGGATGTGCGCGGCGCTACGGTGAGATCCACATGTTGAAAACGAACTGACCTCCATGCCTGAAAGTGTTGCAACATGTTTAGACAAATGCGCGCAGCGCTAAAGCGAGAACACCATGTTGAAAACGGCCCACCATACAAACTTGGAGTTGCTGCAATCTTAAAAGACGAATGCACAAAACGATAAGGCAAGAGCTCAATGTTGAAAACGGCCCGCCCCCTCATCCTTGAAAAAGCTGCAAAGTGCAAGCTTCCAGTCAATAAGTGATGAAGGAATTTTACGCGAAACGCCCTCCCGGGCCAACGGACACGTCTGGGGGTCCAACAGGGAGGAAATAATCCTAAGAGAACTGGATGGAGGAGCGGGGGGAAGAGGGACACGGGGGAAATGAGGAGGAGGAGGAAGAGGGGGCAGGAGGAGTAGGAGGAGTAGGAGGAGGAGGAGGAGGAGAGGGAAGAGGAGAAGAATTGGAAGAGGGGGCTGGTGCGAGGGAAGGCTGAGGGTGCAAGAAGAATAATAGAGGGCTGATGGAGGGGGCGCTTCTGGGCCCCACGCCGAAAGCCCAGGGGGGCCGAAGCCCTTGCCGCCCTTCTCGCAGCCGAATGTGCCCGCGGGCCCGTACCTTGGCAGCGGCGATTGCGGAGGAGCAAGCAGAGCACGAGGATCGCGGATCGAGGAACCGATGGAAAGGAGGAGGGTGGAGGAGGAGGAGGAGAAGGAGGGTGGAGGAGGAGGAAAATGGAGGGCGAGGATGGAGGAGGAGGGGCAGGGAGCGGATCGAAGATCTTAGATCGAGGCGGAGGAGGGGAAGGAGGAGGAGGAACCGATGTATGGAGGAGGAGGGGGAGGAAGCGATGAACGGAGTAGGAGGAGGCGATGTGTACAGGAACCGATGAAAGAAGGAGGGGCAGAAGGAGGAAGAGGAGGACGAGGAGGAGGAGGAGGAGGAGTTGAGGTGAGGGTCGAGGAGGGAAGTGGGGCAGGAGAGGCAAAGGGGCACGAGGAGAAGATTCGAGAATCGCGAATCGATGGAAGAAGAAGGGGGGAAGTGGTGAGGCAAGGCTCGAGGAATGAAAGGGACTGGGAGAGGGAGAAGGGCAGGAGGAGGACATTCGAGGATCGAGGATGGATGGAAGGAGGAGGAAGAAGAGTTGAGGTGAGGGTCGAGGATCGATGGAAGAAAGAGAAGATGTTGAAACAAAGGTCGAGGACGGAAATGAGGCATGGACCGGCAGAGGGGCAGGGGGAGGAAATTCGAGGATCGAGAATCGAAGGAAGGAGGAGAGGGAGGTGCTGAGGTGAGGGCTGCGACAAGAGAGGGGCAGCGAGAGGCAGAGAGGAAGCCCGAGTCGGGCTGAATTCCAACCAGTTTTGTTGCCACGGCTACTCCAGGATGTACTCGAAGATATCCGCTCAGCACTGCAAGGAGAAGGGGGGGGGAACCTGGAGGACGGGTGAGTGTTCAACTTGGCACCGGGAAGGAGCACTACGGGACCTCAAGCAGTGCCACGAGCACGTGAAGCACTTGGGGTTATGGCGCGAGCATGGCCTTTGTGGGTTTCCATTGCATGTCCTCCGCTGCTCTATCCTGTCGTACAGCTGGCCCAGAGTCGCCATGCTAGGAAAGGTGCGCACGGATCGCCTCGATCCAGACAAGGCACAGCTGCCGGAAGCAGCATTGCCACGTATGACCATAAAGGTTATACGGTACCCATGGCAGAGGACACTCCCAGTATTGATAGCACTACGCTTACTATTCATAGTGATGGTGTTGAGATACATGGACATCACCTATCTACGATCGACGATTTAGATCACATCGCGAAGTTGGCAGAGTGCCTGTGTGAGAGGTTTGCGACTTGGCTCGGACTGCCCATTGCTTTGAAAAATTGTATTTGGCACGAGCACCAAGGAGCTGATAGATCGGAGCCAGGAGGTCTTTGGTAAGTACGCCCACTCGTTGACAGGTGAGGGAGTGAAGCTAGGTGTTGTTTTCTCGGTGGGTAGCAAGGCCAGCTCTTTCCCGAATAAGCTCTACAGCTCGAAGTGAGCCCCAGAGGCAACCAAGAAGGTCCCCAGATTGGTCAAAAGGAAGGCTCGTTGGTGTAAAGCGCTGCGGGGGATGCCCAAAACTAGAAGCCTTCGTGGTGAAGCGGGTGCGAAAGCTAAAGCATGTCTCACGGTAGCGAGGTGGTCGCCCTGAGCCCCTAGGAGATCCAGAAGTTGAGGACCATGGGTGCGCAGGCTCTGGGGATATGGGCCCATGGTGCCACTATAGATCTCGTGTATTTGGACGCCCGAACTCTTTCAGTACCCATTTCGTGCGTGCATGTACCCATTCTTTCAGTACCCATTCCGTGCGTGCAGAGTGTATGCCATTCGGCCCGACAAAGACCTGGTGGCCCGTGCTGGAGATCCGGCTGTACGCTATGCCAGAGAACGACGGTGGGAGGCCACGGGCCCTGCGCTGCGGGCCAGGGATGGTCTTGGCGTAGGCTGCCTCACCAGAGCTTGCCACTCGTCCTCCTCCCACCCCCTCCTCCTCGTCCTCCTCCTCCTCCTCTCCCTCCTCCTCCTCCTCCTCTCCTCCTCTCCTCCCTCCTCCTCCTCCTCCTCCTCCTCCTCCTCCTCCTCCTCCTCCTCCCTCCTCCTCCTCCTCCTCCTCCTCCTCCTCCTCCTCCTCCTCCTCCTCCTCCTCCTCCTCCTCCTCCTCCTCCTCCTCCTCCTCCGTGTGTGTCTGCTCTTGCCGAGCTGCCACCGCCTTTGGGTGAAAAGCACAGAGGCACCCGCCCTGCTTTGCACGCGCTCCTGTGGGGCGCAGAGGCGGGCCGGCAGGTCAAGAATCGGGCCTCCTTCGTGTCTGCGGAAGAGACGCCCGTCAACTCAACGAGCTCGCCGCCGGCCCTGATCATCAAGATTCTCAGAGTGGATGTGCAAAAGAAGTACCTCTAGGACTCGGTTTCTCAGAATATCCGGGGCACGAACCACCCCAGGGCCAGGGACATTCTGGACCGAGGTCTGTGGGCCCAACCTGCTCGTTTCAAGTTGTGCTCGAATCTTGTGAAGCCTGGGCAAAGGAGGGGACTCAGGAAAACACTCGGCCAGGCTTACACCACTGCTTTCCCTGCATCGCTGGGGGTATGAGCAGGTTCTGCCAGAGGCTCAACACTTTATTCCACAGGATCCGGAGCTGCCCCCATGGCGAAGAGCTGCGTGGGGAGCTCGACAGCAACTTGGTCGAGCAGGCGCTCGAGGCAGGAGAAGACGATCCGTTGTATAACTCCTTGTGGATAGCTGCACCTGGAATCGAGACCCTGCCCTCAGTTGAGGATGTTGTGCGCTTCTTCAACCAATATGACTCTGTGGACCCGTTATTCTTTGCGAACGGGGCCCGTGTGTGTGTGTGTGCGGGTTGATGGTTCGGTCCTGGATCCCGAGGTTGATGTTGGAGCCAGAGGGGGTTGGGCGACCGTGGAGATCACCCCAGAAGGAAATGTCGTGAGAGGCATGCTGGGGGGCATTCCGCGCGGTCTTCCCCAGACAGCATTGCTAGCAGAACATCACGGGCTCATGCACACTATTAAGCACCATGACCTCACTGAGCCCAATCCCGAGGAGTTTGAGGGAATGGATCTGTATGTTGACTGTGCGGCGCTGCTATGGGTTCCCCAGGACATGGTGAAAGTGTCCAAGGGACGAACGGCCCAACCGGGCCACTGGCGGGGGATGAAGGCGAACACACGGGGACGATTGGAATATCCACAAGGTGAAAGCCCATCTGAGAGAGAACGACTCAGTGGGACAGGCCAAGTAGATGACAAGGGAGAATAACTGGGCTGACGCCTATGCCATGATTGCCGCCAAAGCGTACACGCCGGTCGGAAGAAGTAGGTAAAAGCATGAAGTAGGAAGGCGGACTAAATTGATTGGGTCCAGGCCCCCCAAGGGAATAGCAAAACACAGCAAAAGCGTGTCGATTCTTGAGGTAGGAAGGCGCTTGAAGTAGACTGGGATCTGGGAGTCCAAAGATACCCACTTTCAACGACCGGCGTGTACAGGTCTCAAGTCGATGGGGAGGCCATCACCACCGAAATAAGCCTGCGCAACCGAGTGGCACATGCTGTTCTCGAAGTTTCCTGGAAGCGTGGCCCCCTGCCCGTGAGCTTTCTGGAGGTGTGGGGAGAGCCCCGAGGGTACCTTAGGGTTTAGGGTTCAGGGTTCAGGGCTTAGGGCTTAGGGTTCAGGGCTTCGGGTTTAGGGCTTAGGGTTTGGGTTTAGGTTTAGGGTTTAGGGTTTCGTTGAGGATCAGGGCAGGGTTTATCGTTGAAGCGCTAATCCCCAAAAGAGGGGGAGGGCAGCAGTAAAAGCTGCCAAGGCGAACCACTCGGGCAACATGCTCAAGCATCTCAGAGAATCCCTGTCTCTCGTAGACGGCGACAAGGACACGCGGTGGGTGGGTAGATGCACAACGAGGTGCTTGGGACTTTCTAGAGTGTACCCCGTTCCCCCCCCCTACTCGGCTGGCCTCTCTCACGGCCTCCACTGGGTCGGCTCTCGGTGGCACTGCTGTGAACAGCAGCAACGCGGAGCGATCTGAATGTGGGCCCCTCACGCCCACGCGTCGCAGCCTGTTCTGCCCCCCCTCTGAGCCCGCACTTCCCCAACACAAATCCAGGGCTGCTCGCACGCTCGCGGCGGGACAGGGAGTTTTATGCTGTAACGGGTGCGGCAGCTACACTGCTACTGGCAAGCCAGGCGACCTGGCCCGAGGCTGCAGCTGGACCGCTCACACACCTGAGCAAGTAGATCTGATTCAGAAGGGACGGCTCCCTTGGCCCCGCGGGGCCCTCGGAAGGATCTCCCCCTTTGGGGCCCCTGGGGCTCGCGCGCCAGTGGTGGGGTAGCCTGACCACAAGCAGCCTGAGCCACTGAGCCCAGCCGTGGCAGGGACTCTCGTGCAGCCTCCTTTGTCCTGCAAGCTGACGCCTTTTTTCCCGAGGGTCACCCTGCTGGCGCCCTCCAGTCGCACTGCGAGTGCTGCGAGGAGGATGTCCCGGGCAAACAACAACAAGGAGAGAGACGGGCAGGGAGAGGCGCACGGGCCGAAAAGGAGGAGGTTCGAGGATCGAGGATCGAGGGAAGGAGAAGCTGTCAAGGTGAGGACCGAGGAGGGAAATGGCGCAGGGAAAGGCAAACAGGCAGGAGGATGCTCGAGAGCCACTGGAGGAGGAGGAGGAGGAGGAGGAGGAGGAGGAGGAGGAGGAGGAGGAGGATATGATGAGGCGAGGGTCGAACGAGAAGATGGGGCCGGGAGAGGCAGATGGGAGGAGGAGAAGATTAGAGGATCAAGGATCGATGGAAGGAGGAGGGGAGACAAAGTCGAGTTGAGGTCCGACGAAAGAGATGGACAAGGAACAGGAGAATATTCAAGGATCGAAAATCGATGGAAGGACGAGGACGAAACGGTAATGCTAGGGGCGAGGAATGAGATCTGGGAAAGCCTTGCCAAAAGCCTGGAGATTGCAGTCTCCTCATCCCTCCTTCTCCGCTTCCCCGCCTTCTCCTCGCCTGCCCACCTCGCCCAAACCCTGGCGGCTTCCCATGCCCATGCCCATGTATGTCCCCCTCTCCTCACGTTTGCGGTCAGCGCA